TGCCACGCTCGCTCACCTCGCCATCGCCTTTCTCCAGCACCTTTCCTCCACCCTTGCCTGTCTCGGTCGCATGGCCTTCTCCTTTTCCTTCAAGCTTGCCTCTCTCTGCTGTATTCTTCTGCTCATCAGGGATTTCTTCTCTTGTGGCACTCTGGTCTTTCTTTGACTTATTGGCCTGGCCTGCACCTTTCCCCTTTCCATCGCGTTCTGATTTTCTTTTCAGCTTCTCATCCTTGGAGCCTTTCCCTGACTCAGCTTTGGCCACAGCCTCCTCTGTATGCATCTTTTTGTTTCCTTTCGGCTCCCCTTTGCCAAATTCTCCTTTGCTCATCATGACGCCAACCGTGCCAGCAGCTTTTGAAAGGGGGTGCATGAAAATTGGATCTTCTGCAGTTCCAACGATTCCAGGTTGAGAGGCCAAAGCTTCTGCAACTTGGACACCAGATGGAGCACCTGAGATACATGCGAGCACTATTGGCATTGAGACTTGTGCAATATATTCACGCGATATTATACTATCACCATCATTATTCATGCATGATCCATGTATGCATGTGATTTACGATAATACATATTGACTTAAATTAATCCAAGAGACCAGGTTCTTCCTCCTCTACATCCTCAAACTCTTCTCCTCCTTTTGGCTTCTCCGGCTTTGGAGGTGGCACCACCCTTGGGGGGAGGCCTTATGCCTGCAGGGGGTTGCTGTGGGTTTTCCGGAATGAAGACCCAGCACTGCAACCATCGCCCTGGCTGCGGCATTGGCTTCGGCCGCGGAGGGTTTGCCGCCGGCGGCGGCGGTGGAGGGGGCCGCAGTGGTCGTGCCCGGCCATCACCTGCGTGGATCGATCGAAATTTATCATATATAATGCATATAGTACTCGATTGGCCTATCCAGCAACTCAAGTATAAATGCTTCCAAGTCGCCTGCACCGCCGCCTTCGCTGCTGCCCGGGGGATCTGTGTCCGCTTGAGACATAATGCTGCTTGTGTGAGGGCAGCCGTGAACACATGCCAACTTGAGCAACAATTGTCACGTACATTATACTTTACTGCTTTGCTGTTTGCCAGGTCAAGCCTGAAACGCGAGCAGCGCCCACGGCGGCAGCAGCTTCAGCCTTCAGCAGCAGCGCCGCGCCGCCATGAGCCTGCAGATTAACGGCCGATTGCAGTATTTGTTTTGCTATATAGTATCACTCAATCTGTATATGTCGATACCGATATCATATGTTCATCATGCACTATGATATTAAATATAATCATGCACATGTATAATCGAGAATATTAATATAAATATATTTCGCAGATCGGTCAAATGCATGCGCGTACACTCTTGCCACATTTTTCACTGCCGATGAACCCTGTCTGTTCGCAGCACACTTCAGGCGCTGCTCTTAAACTTCTTGATGGCAGCCTCAGCTGTGCTATGCATCAGCTGGCAATAGTCCTGGACCTCACGGCAAAGATACAGCGATGCTGAAGCTTCCACAGCAGTACCTGGGCAGCTCTAATCCATGGAGTCATGCGTATACATGTTTGCAGGAATATATCATGTATATTAAAATATATTCAACACCATGCTATATATCGCTAAAGTGCTTTGATACAAAGCATCAAGCTTGTACGCCAACTTGAGAGCCACAATGATGTTCACAGCGATGGTGGCCTTATGGCTGAAATAGAAACCTCGGCCAGCAAAGGCCCATTCATGGATGGCAATTGGTAAGAAAATATTCAAAAATAAGAAATCAAAAGTCTTGCGCTCAAATTCAAGACCAAAGAACGCTGCCCTTTTTTTTCCATTTGCATCAATTGGCACTTTCAAGCCCACGTCATTGCGGTCCCAATAGGGTACCGACTTGACAGTCTGGAGTTCATTGTGGTGCATGGTCTCCACATCTTTGTCATACTTTGTGTTCTCAAACCGCTTCATGGCTCTGAGGCACTCCTCCAAAGTTTCAGCATCCACAGCAGCAGCAGGTTCCTCGTGAGCCGGCTCCTCATCATTCTTCTGGTCCTTCTTTCTTTGGCCTGTCCTCCTTTTCTTCGGCTCTGGCAACTCTGAGGCTTCAGGTTCAGGTTGTTTCCTTGGCCTGCCACGTGGTTTGGCTTCTGCCTTCGGCTTGCTCGCCTTTGCAGCTTTCTTCTGTTCCCTCTCTTCCTCCATTCTGGCCTTCTCGCCAGCTCGCGATTTCAACTGTTCACGCCGAACATCACCATTATCAAAAAGGCCCTCAGAAGCATCATGCTCGATCTGAACTGCCGCAGCTTGTAGGACCTCCAGATTGCTTTTGATATATAATATCTCGTGGTAAAGCAATCATGCTATTTAACATATGGGTGCATGACTATAGTATAATATATATGAAACCAACAATATATAAAAGGATCAATCCAAGCTGCAGCATCCTCCCTGCCCGGAAGTAGTTCCTGCAGTGGAGTTTTGCCAGGCTCAGACACTTGGGCAAATTCCATCTCCAGAGCACGGGGGGCAAAGTTCAGCAGGTTTGGCCGAGGTTGGAAGTTCTGGCACATACTTCACCACTTCAAGTGGATCAGCCTCCTCTGCCTTCCCTTCCACCTTGAGATCTGTCTTCCAGGCCTTCTCTTCCTTCACGGGGGGATGAGGCTGGGGGTCGACAGGTGGCGCAATGGTTTGCTCAACAGCTGCGATTTGCTCAATGTCCATGGGCAGAGTTGCCACGTTGTCCACTCCACCTGGAGCGCACGTTTGCATGTTAACTGTCAAAGAATCTGTATAGATCAGACAAGCTAGCATGCATATATATTATAGTATCTCTGAAAATTGCGG